AGAGGAAGGAGTCAACCTGCCCTCTTCAAAGCTCTACCTGGGATGGGAGGAGAATTTAGCTTCAGCTGAAGATAGAAGTGCGGCTTAATAAACAGACACCATATATTGCGACTTAACAACCACAGGACTTTGTTAGCTGACAAAGACCAGGAAGGCCCTGAGCATTCGCTTCATGTGGCACCCAGGGCAGGCCCACCCCATGGAGGAGGCTTAAGAGGGTGCTCAGGGTGGAGTGGACAAAAGTCAAGCTGCCTTTAAGATTACCCGTTGCAAGTCCAGTGAGGGGACAGCTGCACAGAGAGTGGACATTACTGCTACAGTCCCTGAAATAATGAAGTCTGTTTTGGCTTTCTTGTGTCATCTGCTCCAGTTTCAAACCCCCACAGAGAAGCATCTGATGGGCTGAACTTAGACTTCATGCCCACGCTCCAGCGGCCGCGGCCCATGTTGTCCACAGCACTCTGCCTGATGAATTCACGCGAGTTAGGAAAAGGGTTTGAAAGTGCATAGACAAAAACAAGACAGGTGCACTGCAATGGGAGATAGTACGTTCACTTCTAATGGGTATTGCACTGTGCTAGGTGTGTGTGTGTGTGTGTGTGTGTGTGTGCGGGTCAGGGACTCCAAGAAGATTCCAAGGATTCCAAGAAGAGAACACAGTCCCACTATTATAGCAACTACAACAGGAAAGTATCTCATTGTTATCTAGAACCTTACCCTTTACAAAGCTCTTTCATGTCTGTTTCGTTTGATCTTGACAACAACACAGTGGGATGGCTCTCCAGCGTCCACCCTGGCGCCTGGCATGTAGTAGGTATTCGGTAAATGTTTGTTAAATGGAGGAACAAGTGAAGGGGTGAATGGGTGAGAAGGAATTAAATCCACTGGTGAGAGCACAGGCTTTGCAGTGGGCCAGTTCAGCACTGCCCAGGGGCGCTGACTGGGATGATGGTTCGTTATCTGCTCGCTGTGCAATATGGTAGCCACGTAGGGCTACCGAGGCTGGAAATGCGCTAATGAGACCGAGGGGTGGAATTTTCATTTCCTTTCATTTTAATTCTCTTACATTTGAATAGCCACAGGCTGCTAATGGCTACCGCCCTGGATAGCACCAGTCTAGAGTTCAAATTCCAGCTGATAACTGGAGTCAACTCCTTCATCTCCCCAGATATGACCTGGGGGAAAATACTTTACTGGTTGTGATGGTTAAGCGAGGTCTCACGTGTGAAAGGTGAAGTTCACTGGGATCACTGTGACCCCCTGGCCACTGCTGTTACTGCCACTGCAAGGGGTGGGGGGGGGGCAGGTTGCGGAGACCAGGAGGGTCAAAGGCCCATCCGGGTCCCACGGCTAGAGCGCCATGCGGTGAGGTTTGCTCCTCCTGCTTTGTGACTGCAGTGGCTTTCTCACCAGATGCCCCATACAGGCACTGAGGATCGTCTGCGCCCTGAAAAGTGAGTCTTCCGCCTACATGTGTGATTAGTATTCAAATTCATGTAAATTCCACAGGGATTAATAAAAACATAAATTTGTTTAAAAGCATCTCTGGCTTTAGAGCAGCTTTTGGTCATTATGAGGATTCCTAATCAACAGACACTGAAAGTACAGCTATTATCGTGTGAGGAATCTCAGGATCTCCTGACCCTGAAAAGGTATCCTCGTCCACTGTTGAAAATGCGAACATCTCTTTGTTAGAACAAAATCAAAGAAAGGGAAGATGCGGGATACAAAACACACAAAAGAGTTAAATATCAAGAGAAAATGGTGATGCGAGAGACTCTGTCAACCAGGATAGATTCTAGGTACATTTGCTAGAAACACGAATGGTGGCCTGTTGTTGTTTTTTTGTTTTGTTTTGTTTTTGTTTGTGTGTTGTTGTTGTTTTTTTACCAAAAAGGGGTTTCTTTAAAGTCAGCTAATAGAAAAGACCAATGTGTAATTCACTAAAGGATTCTGCAACAATCAGCAACTATCAGAAATAAAGCTGAGTTTAGTTTTAAAAAACGAATCGCACACACGCAGAAAGGGTGAGACAATGCTTGAAAACAGATCCTGTAAAAGACTTCAGGATTTTAGAAGCGCGGTCCTGCGTGGAGTGACTATAACCAAAAGGTGCCCGCGAGGATCCCCTGGGAGGAGGAAAGAAAATATTACAACTCCTATATGGACTTTTTATCTTAAAAAAAGAAGCCGTGCTTCGTAGATATTTAATATAGGCACGGACAGAAGTACATGGATTTCATTTAAATAAATATTCATCTACAGGGCACGTACCCAAAACTGTTCCATTCAGAAGACGGCATCATTTAAAAGCTTTAGAATCTTTTTGTTGTTGTTCTGAAGACAAACAGCTCAGGATAAACCTGCAGTACGATGTGATTATTAAAAACAAGCCGACAATGGAATCGTCGTAGCTCTATCAGTTAGCTTTTCCTATGTAACAAGCCACCCCAAAACAAGTTGGCTCACAACCACGGTTTTTTACTGTTTAGAACCTGCCCAGTGTCGCTTGTACTGACAACCTAAGAAAGCTAAGTCATGGGAGGAAGGCTTCAAAGAAGCCGGTCCCTGTGCTACGCAAAGAGAACATTTGCAGGAAAGAGGAATGTGTGTTAGACATTTACTACCTTGATTCCTTACAGCTCAGGTTCTAACACAACTTACAGTGATCAGTAAAAAAAAATAGTTGGAATAGACAATCCCTTGAAGCCAGAGAAATGAAAGCACTTTTTCCTTTTCCCTACCTGATTTTGTAACGACAGAACTCCATGATTTCAGAGTTCCATTTGTGTGGAACGACGGTTGGCTGACAGACAGATTGCTGCAAAATCCCATACTTGTCCACTTTTCTCATTTTTATCAAAGAATCGGCTAGTTCTTTCTCCTCCTTTGAAAGGACAAACAATATGGTCTTTGTTCCTTTTTCTCCCCACCCCTCCCAATTCAAATTCTATCATGTAAATTCAAAATATGAGCAGATTTGAAAATGGATTATGAAGAAAGAGCTGTAGTATAAACAAAAGGAAAACAGAGTGAAGTGCATGTCCGTCACTGCAGGAGATGTGGGGTGACAGATGTGCGCTTACCCCTGCATAGAGAATGGAGGTGGCTCAGAGCACTGCTGTCCCCCGGAAAGAAATATATGAAATAAAATATATTTCGAAGAAAACCCATGCAAATGCAGTGTCCCTTCTGGGTAGAGCTGCAACAGTGTTCTGTTTGAATAATTTTATATCTTCTCCTAGAACTAAAATTTTTGCAAAGTTAAATCAAAATCCCTGCATTGCACAAGAAACTTATCCAATTTACTGTAAGATTTAGAATGAAAACTTAAGATCACACATACAATAAATTTTAATAACCAATACCCTTGAAAATGATGCAATTTCTATTTCCTAGCTGTTTAACAAACAACCGATTAAGGCTGCAATGAACACAAAACTGTCATACTAAAATTTTTGCAAAGTTAAATCAAAATCCCTGCATTGCACAAGAAACTTATCCAATTTACTGTAAGATTTAGAATGAAAACTTAAGATCACACATACAATAAATTTTAATAACCAATATCCTTGAAAATGATGCAATTTCTATTTCCTAGCTGTTGAACAAACAACCGATTAAGGCTGCAATGAAAAAAAAACTGTCATGTCCTTCAGTGGCATTCCTGGGAGAAAAAATCAGAAAGGATGATGTCCTTACTCTAAGAGAATTTTGAGTCAAGTAGTTTTTTTTTAAAAAAAATTCAATCTGTAAGTCATGTCCTTACTCTAAGAGAATTTTGAGTCAAGTAGTTTAAAAAAAAAAAATCAATCTGTAAGTTCCTCCACTTTTCTGGACCCAAAGTTACTTTTTGCTGAGTGGAGCAAAACAGAAAATGGACATTTGCTTCTGGCACTGTGACCTTCTCCAGGCCCTCGTCCGAGCTGCCCTGGTGCACACCCCTTGTGATACAGCCAGTGACATTCTCCATCAACACTCAGGGCGACAGCGCGAGAGAGTGAAAATCTCTCTCGCTCGCACCGATGAAGACTGCCACACGACAAACACACCTCCCTCTTCTGTGAGATGGATGATTTTTAAAAATATATATATTAATTCAGATGGGCAACTGCTCAACACTGTTATTTTTCTTCCAGCGATACACGTAAATACATCTAATTTTTGTTTTAATACCAACAGAGCTTGCAAATATGATAAACCACCTCTCTATCTTCTAAAAGAAATCTATAGCGGGTCCATCTGTTTTCCAAGACTTAGCATGAAACCTCCATTTGTTTCAAAATGTCACACCCGCCACCTCTGTGCATACACACCCATACACATACGCGCCCGCTCCAAGTCCACACGCATCCACTGGTGTCTACGCCATTTGAGATACGTTGGTGGGGATTGGGGGGAAGGGGCTAGGAGGATTTATTTTGTTTCAATAGGCATGCATAATATTTACTGAACAAGACATTTTGCTCTGGATTTTGCTTTTGTATGTGGGGTGGGGGGGGTCCTAATTGTATTTATACTTTCATGGCATGGGTGACTCAGTTCACAGCAGAGGCACCTGCAGCAAATTAATTTGTTGTAGCACATTAATTATCTCATAGCTTCTATTTAGGCTGCAGCTGTTGCTATTATGTTAATGATATTTTTTATCACCACTGTATACAACAGGTTATGGCAAATAATAGAAATATCTCCCTTTTTGGCTGCCCCCCCCCACCCCCCACGTTTCCATTTGTCTATGTGAGAAGGGAAGACGGAAAGAAATTTAGGCAAATGAAGCCCCAAAGCGCACTGTAATTTTCTATCTCTGAACCGATTTGTAAGAGAATGGGTGAGTGAAATTAGCAAAGAATCGCCCCACACAAAGATGGCGCGTGCAGAATTTGTGAAAGCGAAAAAAAGGCGACGAAGGAGCAGCATGAGGGACGAGACACCGCATTGCTGGGGTGGTGAGTGTTTGGATGGGGGCGGGGGGGATGCTGCAGTTTCCATGAAATAATAAGGTGGGGGAAAAAGGCATACAAAGAGTAGGTTTTTCATTGTTTGTAAAATATAAACACAGATGAATTCTGTCTTTGGTTTGTTCATGCTTTTCACTCTGCACAGCAGGGATGTTCTTAAGAAGTTGCCCTCTGCGAAATTTCACTAAATGGGAACCGTGGACCCTGCATGATGGGATTATAATCACACCAGCCACTCCTTTTACATAATTTTTTGTTTAAGATCCAGTAAGGCTCCCTGTTTTTAATATATAGAAAGCAATAGACATGCCTATGTTGATAAACTGAGGGTGTGCGTCCCTAGAGCCTAATGCCAGCAAAGACAAAAAACAAAAAAACAAAAAACAACAAAACAAAACAACCACCGGTGATATCACATCTACAAATCTCAATGGATTCAAAAACAATATGAAAATTTTGAGCTGACAAGAACATGTCTGCTGCCCGCGGTCCCTGCACTGGCTCACCATGTTGCCTATTAACCGAAAGATCAAAAATTATCGATTTCATGGCGCTCCGTGCTCTGGAAAGAAAGGCTACTTTAAAATTTGCATTGTGTAAGAAATGAGTTAAAAGAAAAGAACCTTTTTTTTTTCTTTCTTTCCTGAACACTTTGGAATGTGAAAATGGCTTGTTTTAATCTTATTCACGATTTACTATAATTCCATTATTTTTAGCAGCTGGAGTCCAGAAATGATTTTTTTTTTCGATGAATTTTAGGATTTTTGCCGCAGTATACATCTGCAGTCCCAGAATCCTCGGGTAAGTTAATCCTTCTTGTGATGGGAAACGCCTTTAACCTTCTGGTGAATGAAATATCTGCAACCATTTTGAAATTTTTAATAGAGAGGGTGTGTGTGTGTGTGTGTGTGTGTGTGTGTGTGTGTTGGAGGGGTATATCTCCACAGCATAATTTCTTAGCAATGCAGCGGTATCTGTTTCAGTTCTTAGAGACACTGAGAAACATACACCTTTGTGCTCGTTGAATATCACGGGTGATGTCCCCACTGCTTCTCCTTCACACTTTCTGTGGTAGCCATTAACGTGCACTTTTGTATGGCAAACTGTTGTGTCAAATCAGTGAAGGCCTGGAGAACGCGCAACTCCGATGATGAAGATTGACGCTGCTGTAACTGAAGCGGCCATGAGCGTCCCTACCACGGCTGCTGCCACGGCCACCACCATGGCCATCGCCTCCCACCACCTTGGCCGCCCCTCCCTCGCCCTGCAGCGCACACCAGATGCGAGCCGTCCGCCGTGGCTCTCCGCCGAATTTGCCCAGTGGGTTCCTAGATGACTTGTGTGTGCGAGAATAGCCAACCATGTAGTCTGACGAGAGGTATTTACAACTCCTTAGCCTGTTCGGCTGGAGAGAAATCAAAAGATAACACCGAAGCCTGAGATGATGTATTGCAAATCAAAAGTTCCAACCCATAAATAGCCCACTTGGTGAACTGCTAAATGCAAAGCGGATCCTGATTATTGTCCAGTGTTTGCAGGCTGTCAAAAGAAGTATATTTAACTGGCGTTCTTAGAGAGTCGGGGTTTATTGTTTATAAATGCATGGAGTAATTACTTCGTCTTACCTTTCTGCTGGGAGAGGATTCTTCCCAAGGAGATTCGACTATAGCGTCCAGAGGAGACCACACCCTCCTTGCCCTGTTCTCTACTAGTATTTGTTTACTTTCAAGTAGGGCTGAATAACAATTACAATTATACAGTAATTTAAGGGACCTAATTAAAAGGAGCCAGTCAGCCCTGGCCTGGGGGCTCAGTTGGTTGGAGCGTCATCCAGCACACCACAAAGGTTGTGGGTTCGACTCCTGGTCAGGGCTCATGCCTAGGTTTTGGGTTTGATCCCTGGTCCGGGTGCATATGGAAGGCAACGGATCAGATGTTTCTCTCTGTCTCTCTCTCTCTCTTGCTCTCCTCTCTCTCTCTCTCTCTCTCTCTCTCTCTCTCCCTTTCCCTCCCTCTCTCTAAACCTATCCTCCAGTGAGGATTAAAGAAAGAGAAAAAAGGAGCCAGTAATCCATTTTCTTCTCTCTATAGGAAGCTCACTGTTTTAGTGTTCAATAAATGTTTCATGAATAGATTTAAGAGTTAACTATGCAAAAAAAAAAGTGAATGGGCCTTCTTTAAAGTGCTGCTGGCTGGATTAACGTTTCTGTCCAAAATGCAAAAACCATCTGGGCATTTATTTCTTTGCCTGAAGGTCATTTGAACGCGTGTGTTTTGGAGAAGGGACACTTTTTTCCTTAGGTTCTGTGTAGACGCTGCTTGATGTGCCAGTGGTCTGATAGCATGACAGTAATACTTCCTCTGCTCAAGTAGCTGGAGACACTTTTGGTTTCTAGGAATAAAGCCTGAAATTAAGAACCATTTGTCCTTTGCATTTTCACAAAACGGATTAACTTATATCAAACCTAAGTTTGATATAAGGAAAAGGCGTAGAAGGATAACCAAATATTTTTTATGAAATGCATTGCCCAAGGCCAATTTTTAAGAATAAGTTTTACAAAATCTCTTATTTCACAAACTCATCAGGTATTTTGATGTTCGTATTTTTCATTAGTTTAATGACAGTAAAATTGCCTTCATTTCACAGAAGTTATTCATCTCATATTTTTGGTAAGACAATTGGAACAATTTCTATTTTGAGAGAAAGAAATAAAAATTCTGAACAATTTGTTTAATTCAACTAATTTGTTTTAATGCTAGTCATTCAGTAATTCTTCAGTACAGTTAAATTTGATGGGAAATCAGCTTGTTGCATTGTTGCAAATTTTATATTTCCCTTAGTGTGTGTTTGCTTAAAGCATTACTAGGGATTTAAAATTCTTCATTCTAAATCTAGATTAAGATATCTAAATCACAGAGAAATGTTTCAATTATTTTGGCACCTAATGAGAAATACAAATATGGAAATTTTCATTCTGTAGATGTTCTAATAATGTAAATATTTCTTAACCAGCTTTAACAGTGTTTCTTATTTAGCCAAGAGAAAAACCAAAAAGCAAAAAACAAAACAAAAAAATCCCCCAAACCAAGAAAACCCTAACAGACACAAAAACTGAACATAGAAAAAGGGAACATCTGTACCAAACAATCTTCAATTGATTAATCAGACATCTGAATTTAAACATATGACTTTAATAAAATCAACGGTATATTCCTTAATTCTGTGTACGAGAATTAAAATTAAGGGTCTGGACCTGGGAATATTACTTACACTTTTGAAAACATTTATATTAGAAATACTCCTTTGATGAAATGGCTTTTCTGCTCGATCTGTTTGAATTATGACTAGCTGAGTTAACCACAACCATCGGCCACACTTCCAAAGAATTACTAGCAAAGATACAAAAGCGAAAGCCACTCTAGACAATGGACCTCATGGAACATCATCTTAGTGTGTGGACTTTCTTCCACGGCAGAGGCTCACGTGTGCTGTGGTGATAGGCAGCAGTAGACATTGCCACTGTATATAATATCTTTAAGATGAGAAAAAAGAATTATTCAAATTATTTAATAATTTTTAAATAATTAAATTATTTAAAGAGCATTAGCTAAGCCTAAAACTACGTATCTACTCCATGAATGAATAGGTTTCCTGCCTGTCCCTATGTATAAAGACCTATTGTTTGCATGCATTAATGACAGGGATAGAAGCCTCAAGGTAACTTTCACCCTTGCTTTTTGTACTCTCTCCCTTGTTTTGGAGGGAAAAAAAACAACAAGCAAAAAAACAACAACAACAACAACAAAAAAACCAACAGACTAGAGAAAGTGAATCAATAATTGTTTCAGCTTTGATAGATGCCAATCTTGCTGGATTACAATGAAGACATTTCCAAGGGACATGAAGACCCAACCTGGGCCTATTAAAACGAATTAGAAAATGTTTTTGAAGAATAGAAAATTAGTTTTAAAAAAAAAATTAGAAGCTGCCTAATCGCTAGCTCCTTTCTTCCACGGCAGAGGCTCACGTGTGCTGTGGTGATAGGCAGCAGTAGACATTGCCACTGTATATAATATCTTTAAGATGAGAAAAAAGAATTATTCAAATTATTTAATAATTTTTAAATAATTAAATTATTTAAAGAGCATTAGCTAAGCCTAAAACTACGTATCTACTCCATGAATGAATAGGTTTCCTGCCTGTCCCTATGTATAAAGACCTATTGTTTGCATGCATTAATGACAGGGATAGAAGCCTCAAGGTAACTTTCACCCTTGCTTTTTGTACTCTCTCCCTTGTTTTGGAGGGAAAAAAAACAACAAGCAAAAAAACAACAACAACAACAACAAAAAAACCAACAGACTAGAGAAAGTGAATCAATAATTGTTTCAGCTTTGATAGATGCCAATCTTGCTGGATTACAATGAAGACATTTCCAAGGGACATGAAGACCCAACCTGGGCCTATTAAAACGAATTAGAAAATGTTTTTGAAGAATAGAAAATTAGTTTTAAAAAAAAATTAGAAGCTGCCTAATCGCTAGCTCCTTCCACAAACAACATACTTGGATTTCTCAAAAAATGCACCTCCTCCAAAGAAAAATCCCCCCCCCCAAAAAAAATCTGTTGATTCTTAGCACAGTGGCACCGGATAAAAATGGAATCTACAAGAATTAACCCAACTGGCAGGGCTCTGGAGCTCATCCGCCTCCACCACTCATTCAGTCGCAGGAGGTCGGTCCCGCTAAGGACTTGTTGAATTGCGGGCTGAGCGCCCATTCTGAGCAGAGTTCACAGCCTTGGGGAGTGGGGACAGCGGGCGGTGCGACCGCGGGTGCACTTCCAGACGCAGGCTGAGCATCCAGCTGGGATGCGGGACCCACGATCCGGACCGTG